TCTGGGAATAATCTGGGGATCCTGGGAAGGCCAAACATCCCATCCTGGGATCTCACTGCTCTGCTGGGCCTGGCACAAACCCCAGTCCAGCCTGGAATTCTGCTCCGTGTCCCTGGGGATTTGGGGGGGTGTAGGTGGGGAATTCCCTGGAATTTGGGAAGAGCCATTCCCTGGGAATGCTGAAATGAGCCAGGGATGTTCCTGAAGGGAAGTTCTGCCCTGCCCAGGGGTGGGATCCCTTCCCAGCAGGGCATCTCCAAGGAAATGAACCGAAATAAAAGCTTAAAGAAAGGTAAAATAAAATATAAATAATATGTAAATATAAATTAGCAAATAAATAATATAAAAATAATATATAAAAATATATACAAATATATAAAGATAGATAAAAATAATATATAAGAATACATAAAAATAATATTCAAAACATAGGAATAAAATAAATAAATAAATAAATAATAAAAATAAAGTAAAATTATATATAAATATAAAATAATATATTAAATATATAATAATCTATAAATAATATACAAAACAAAATAAAATATAAATGTATAAATATAAAATTAATATAAAATACATAATCTGATAGAAAAATAACATATAAAATAATATATGATCATATATAAAATTAATGGATAACAATATAAAATAATGTATAATAATATAAAAATATATAAAAATATTTAAAAATATTTAAAACTATTTAAAAATATTTTAAAATAATGCGAGGATTTGAGAGATTAATGCTCCACCCTGTCCCCTGCAGCCCCTCCTGTCCCAACCCAAAAAATTCACCTCCCCTTGTTCTTCATGTCCCCTCCTCAGGAGAGGCTCCCCAGCTGCACAAAGCCCTGGGGAAGTTTTTTGTGCGTGGATGTGGGGCTGGGAACAGGGGAGAGCTGAGGCCAAGGCCTCTGCACTGCTGCTGCTCTTGTCTGAAAACCAAAACTGTGAACCTGGACATGGGAATAGGGTCAGGCTTCAACCTCCAGCCCTGGGCTGGGTCAGACTGGGGAAAACAGAGCCAGGGAAAAAAAAGGAGAGAGCCAGGGAAAAAACTAGAGAGCCAGGGAAAAAAAAACAGAGAGCCAGAGAAAAAAAGAGAGAGCCAGGGAAAAAAAAACAGAGAGCCAGAGAAAAAAAGAGAGAGCCAGGAAAAAAAACCAGAGAGCCAGAGAAAAAAAGAGAGAGCCAGGGAAAAAGGAAAAAAAAACAGAGAGCCAGGGAAAACCCTTGGCTCAGGAAAAGTGGCACTTTTGGATGCAGGGTTTTGGATGGATCCCATCACTCCTGCAGAAATCCCTGAGCAGAGCTGTCACACACCAGCTTTGCTCCTTGCCAGAACTTCTTTTTTCCCTCTTTTTCCCTAAGGGAGCCAGGGCTGGGGAAGGGAGAGCTGCCACGGATCTGCTGGAGTTCAGGGATGGAGGTGACACCAAGCAGGCTCTGGTTTCCAGGGTGCCACCTCAGATCCATCTT